ATTTTCACAAGCCGACGTTTCGATGACCGTCTGTCTTCTTCATCAGGGCATTTTCCGACTGGTTTGCTGTGCACTGACGTGTCACCATGTAACACCTTAGTGCACTATGCACCAAGTAACATCTAGCGTCAGTGCACAGCAAACCAGTCAGAATTGCCCAGATGAAGATGACAGACGGTCATCGAAACGTCGGCTCGTGAAAAATAAATGGTTGTGAACATTGAAAGAACTTTGCTATTCAAGAAAAATCATACTTTAGGCAATATGAAACAAGTAGCTGACTTCCAATGGAACTACTCTAACTCTACGGCCAAAAATTACGATAAAGGAAAATTTCGACACTTAATTCGATTTCCTGAAATCCGGTAAAAGTCTTGCAAAACAGTTGTCAATGAGTTGTGTAATATCCAATAGATACACGTATTAAAGCGTATATCTACCTTCTGTGCGGTGTCTCCAGCAGGGAATTTCTTGTACACTTCGTCCAGGGCCTTTCCGGTAAATGTACCCCATTCGTTCATGTACTGGATCCGAGTTATGGCATTCAGAATTTCCTGCAGCATACACAAAAAAGGAGATTCTGTCAACACCATTTGTGATGCATTTTCAATCATACGATCGAACAGTCATCAGTCATCAAAGACAGGCAAGCATATAGGAAGAACTTTATCGCACGACAATTGCACATGGTACAATGTATGGCAAACTACATACAGATAGTAACAAACAATAAAATAAATGTTTTGATTAAAACCTAATGTCGAATAAAACCTAATATATCTTAATTACTCAAACAATAAGGGCTAGCACAAGTCTTTGATGAAGTGTTACAATCGAATGGGCTAATCACAAGTTTCGGTATTTTTTTCTAATAACAAAGCACTCCATTATATAGCTACCTATTTTTGCATTGTGGGAAACTGGGAACCATTAACATATATATGTATTTTCAGCTCTTGCAAGAGGAATACAAACAACGTACAGATTTAATCAAATTTTGTTAACACCAACCTCCCTAGTGTTGTACTGGCCAATCGAAAACTCCGTTCGCACGTTCGTGCCGAATTGGTACACTCCGATTTTGGCACCGTTCGGACCGATTTCGAATCCTGCCGCCAGTTTCAGGAGGAACTTGATGACGTTAGGGAAGTTGGTCGTCCTGACGCTCTTGGATCCGTCCACAAGCAAGATGACGTTGGCCTTGGCCGAACATGTAGGTGCTATAGGTGCAGTAGAGTTAATACCAAACGAGTTATAACTGCTTTAATAAAAAAAGAGTGACAGTGATAAACAATCTCGATTACCTCATACCTTCGTCATGCATGAGTTTGGGTTGTCAGAAATGTGCCGCTGTATATAGTTCGAGCATCTGGTTGCCTGAACTACGTATACCTAGGCACTACGTATACCTAGGCACTAGAATAGCCGTGCCATCTACTTACAAACTTCGAACTTAACCTTCTTTTTCCACACTACAAGCTACCTACAAAAAAAACATCCACAACCTCAAAAGTTATCCCATCTAGTCACATTCCGTCATAAAATAGGCACCAAAGCAGCTAAAAAAAACAGCTATTTCACTCAAAAACCACACCAGATACTTCCTGCCCAAGCATCTATAGCATGTCCACAGCGCGAGATATTATACCCATGTACCCTCGCTGCAGTACCGTACAAAACCGCTAGAGTACCCAAAATTGACATTGACCTTCGTTTTCCCAAATACCATAAAGATACATGCACCGCACCCCAAGTTAAACCAATTACAAAATCAGCAACCCGTGTATGGTGTTCCCAAACTTATAACCTTCTGACGAAGGTAACAAGCATCGAGTAAGAAATGATGATCATGTCATGATCTTCTGAAATATTAGTTTTGTTAGTTTTCAAATGCCCACAGTGATGTAGTACATGCACAAGTTGTGGTATAATTTGATGCAGTACGTACATTGTACAGATACAGGTGTCTTACCAGGAATGACGATAGTCTCGTGTGTCTCGTGAACCTCTGTAATTACCCCACCTGAAAAGATACAAAATTTAATGTTTTCAAATGCCAACGGTTATGTACTATAAGTCAGAAAGAGCTACAGCGTGGAAAGATATAAAAGTTCTCAAATGCTAAGAGGTGTAGTACGAGTTGTGATGAAGTAAAATTTTGGATGCAGTACATTGTGCAGTTGTCTTACCAGGAGGCCCTTCAACTTCTTCATTTATGACAACTTCTTCTACCCCACCTGGAGAGATACAAATGTTTTCAAATGCCAACAGTAGTGTAGTACAAGTTAGGATAAGATACAAAAGTGTTCCAACAGCAAAAAGTGTTAGAAATACCCATCTGCATTTTGAATTCTGCAGAGACGTTTTCAATCTTGCAGAAGAAAAATTAAGCAACCTGCAATTTTGCAGACTGAAAAAAATCAGACTAGGAGTTCAATGGCGTAGTTCAAACATACAAGTAGTTTTGTATGTATTTTTCAAATTGTATATAAAATGCTTGCCAACATGCAATATTGTATATGCCATAGGTTTAGATCCGGACTTTTAAGTGTGTACTTGCAGAAAGTATTTACGAATTGCAGGACAAAATTTTGACTTTCTGCAATATTGCAGAACACTGAAAAAAAGTGTTTCTACCATTGGAAAAAGTTTCATGTAGTACATTGTGCAGTTGTCTTACCAGCAGTCTCGTGAACACCTTCTGTGGCTACCTCACCAGGACGAAGAACATCTGAAAAGATAGAAATGAAATGAATGAGTCCATAAGTGGAATAAAGAAATGAAGGCTGAAGAATATCACATATGAAGACCAACATAACAGGAACTGGCTCTTGAGAAAGTACAGAGAGCCTTAAGGATCATCTCTTTGGGTTCCTGACCTTCCTACACTTAAAAAAAGACGAGAACTTGCGGCTGTTCAGTTGTCTAAATGTATGCTCAATCCTGACCATCCACTTCACGATTTGGTCTGATAGCACGGGAATGTCTCTAAAGAAACTGAGCTGTACACGCCAAAACAGATTATGAATTTGGTTCATTTATGTGCCAAAAAACAGTTACTCAAGCAACTGGTTCATTTATGAGTTATGAGAAACTAGGAACAAGCGTTAGGAAGTCGTAGAATGCACGTACTAGAGGTCATACGCTAAAGAATACTTGAACTACGCCAAAAACAGTTACTCAAGCAACTGCAAATGATTTTGAAAACGGCCAGACGTTTCAGGTAGCATCCACTACCTTTTGTCAGTGACATTGACATCATATCCAGTTGCTTGAGTAACTTTTTTGGCGTACCTGGATGTCTAACCTTCGAACCATTGAACTAACCTCGTTCACAGATGAATTTGAATCTCTGGTCGCATTTGTTGTCGTTCCAGAGGTCTTGATGTGTGCCAGCAATGCCGTGCTTGTTGTAGTGTCCACAGTCCTCGTTTTGTACGTTGTTAGGCTCGCCTTGGGCCCAGGCACTGTACTGACTGACGCCCGACTGGTCCGTCCAAGACCACACTCCCTCTGAAACTGTAGGCGGAAAGGGGAATAAACTTTGAGTAATTAGGATTTATATATTAGGTCTTATTCTATACTTCATTGTACATTGTTCATTTGTTTTGCCATACATCGTACCATGTATTATTGTCGTGCAATAAAGTTCTTCTGTAATTACATGCAATAACTCCCACAATACAAACATGGATAAATATATAAAAGCCTGCTTTGTTATTAGAAAATTACTCATGATTAGACCCACTCGATTGTAACAATAAAGTTATAATTAATTATATCGAAGACAGACTTGTTGTTTAGGCTTTATTTTATATGAGGTCTATTCTATACTTTTTGTACTTTGTTCTCAATAGTTGTTGTAATACATTGTACCATGTGCAATCTTCTTTCCACCATCAGGACTTCTACCATCAGGACTTCTACATGTAGTTGCTGTAAACCAATGATCAGCCAGCAGTGTTATTGTAATGTTACGACCCAGGCTATTGTTTACATTAGCACACTAACCTTCATCGTTCAGGCCGATCCAGAAGTCACCGTTGGCGTCCATTGCGTTCTTCATCGCGACGACAAAGTAATGGAAGGCGGGGTGTTTGATGCTGGCCAGCCGGCCGCCCCCCTGTCTGCACTTGAGCTCTGCCTCATGCCAGTTGGCTGTTTCATCGTAGGCACGGTAGCACAATGCTCCAGCGGATGACCAACTGGCCGGGCAACGTCCTAAATACAATCATGGGGAAAAGATGATCCTAAAACTTCCAAAATTGCTGGTGTGTTACGCCGAAAGGCGGTTATACCGGCTATACAGATACAGATACAGAAAATAGATAATACAGTAAATTCCATTGTGTTGTTCGAATTCATTCTGAAGCAGGATTTAACTATGATTTGTAACTCAAAGAGGAAATACGTAAAGCACATACGATGTTACACATGTGTCTCTTTTAAAAGCTGTATGTAATATAACTTCATGTAATTGTATGTTTAATATGTATTGTTATCTTTTTATCTACTCCCTTTGTTGGAAGAATAGCTCGGGTGGGCAGCTAAAGGAGAGTTGTTCCACAATAATTCTACCCAAACTTTCACGCAAATGAAAACCACTCTCCTCTTAACATCTGAAAATCCACAGATTACAGAAAAAGTGGGATCCTTTGTCTTCCTCTGTCTTCAAAAAAGTTATCAGTAGTTCTATGTGTACTAATTGTATTTTTATACCAAATGTTTCTTCTGTTCCTGCAATTACACCTCGGGCATAAATTTGCAATAAAACATTAAAAGAAACAAACAACCTTACCTGCTATCATTCCGTAGAAGCCGACCTCCTTCAGCCAGGGTTGCCAGCCGGTGTGCGTTGCGGTGATGTACAGTCGCCAGTACTGGCTGGTCGCTGCGAACCCGCGGAAGCGCTGTGTCTCGTGGGTCCCCGCGGCGGCGTCCGTCACCACCAGCACGTCCACCCAGTTGTACCCTGGCCCCGCTGTGGCCGACGTCTGCAGCTTGAATGCCTTGATGTCGTGCGAGGTGTCGCCGTAGTTGTTGATGGAGAACCTTACATTTTTGGCAAAAAAACAGTAATGGATACAAAGGACACAGACAAATCGACTGCAAATTCAAGTTAGGTACAACTTTAATAGAGCAAAAATTTGGTGTTGTTGAGCGGTGAAAGTTACGGGTAGGATCCTGGGTTGATTTTTGGGGTACCACCCAGAAAATATTAGTATTCCTCTTTGAGCTTGTTTCTATGCTGCTTTGAATGCCCAAAGTATGAAATACGGATGCAAATGTGCTAATGTAAAGTTACGTAGTATGTTCTTATATCATACAGATTTTCTTACATTCAGAATATTCCAGTTTTGTCGCCCTGAAATTGCATTGGATGCCTTTACGTGTAAACAGAAAAAACAAACATATAAACAAACCTGGAGATGGTGTAGGCCATGCCGAAGTTGAAGATGATGTGCCATTGGTTGAAGTCCTTAGCCAGACCCTGTGGATTCCAGAAGGTCTGGAGATTCATGTCCAGCGTCTTGGCAGCGTCATACGTGACCCCGCCGTGGACCCATGGAGTGCCCGCTGAGTCGATAGCCCATTCCGGAGAGGAAATCAACCACCTGAACTTAGCGGCTGATAAAGACACAGGGAAAGGATATATATCCCGTTAAAGATGCCAATCAACGTAGTACTATGATATCATCCCTAGAGTTTCAGAATCTCAATAACAGTACATTATGTTCTTTATTGCTACGAGGGGCCACGTCGCTTTCACATTTACAAAACTGTAATGTCTTTTGCATAGTTCAAGCATTTATTCACTATACAGGTATATTCTCGCAATTAATACATCGCCAACCTGCATGTCTTATTATGTTTACATAATGTTTTTGCTACGTTTCTTCTTCTTCTCCAAACAGTGACCTCTGACCTGACTGAACCAGACTGTCTCTCACAATGATAACTGGTGTTGGATTACATAATGTTGCAATTTTATAGTAGGAGGGATTTAGACTCCCTCGAATATATAATAACTTTGTGCATTTGCCTTGCAAATGTTACCTTTCTAGTTTACATGTACGTATTTTGTCATTGTGTTTTACTCTTATTTTATGTCCTCAAGTAGAAGGCGTTACATAAGCTATTGTGCGTTTTTGCCTCTTTGTGAATAAAGAAAATATGCCGCAAAATTGAAACGTAACACTACGTACATGCATTGACGAACATTGATGAGGAGGTCCTTACCAGTGACGCCTACTGCTGAGATGCCCTCACGTCGCCAGATGTTGTCGTTGCTGTTACATCCCCACAGACGGTTGGAAGTTGAGCTGACGTAAACCTGAGACAGGCTTCCCTCGATCATTCCCCACTGTGCTCCTCGTGGATTCTCGATAGACAGTCCTGTCACGCAAATTGTAAATTTAAGTTAGCACGATAACAGTATAATCCATTGTAGTATCAGTACAAAACAACGCTAACAATAGAATATAAGGCGCCTTTTGTGTATGCAGGTCTGTTTCCAAACTTCGATGTGCATGTTTCTTGTGAGCTGTGAAAATTTCATACAAACACACACACATACATACATAATGCAATTATGGTAAGAGGAAGTAATTGCCTATGAGTTAATGTCCAGAGTTATCCTTTAAAAGATAGTCCAGAGTTTGTAATAAAAGTCCGTAACAGAAAATATTGTGTATAACACAGTCACTGTGCGTCCTTACCGATCCTGACGAAGATCTGGCCTTGGCTGTTCACTCCCCAAATCACGTCGTACCCGACGGTGATCTGCACCAGGTAGACCCCGGTCACCTCGACCCAGGCGCTGCCCACCGCGGCGCCGAGTGACCCGTAGGTACCCTCGCGGTACCAGACGCTGCCGGTGGCTGAGATCGCCCACACGCCCGAGTACCCGTTGGACACGTACGAGAAACCGCCTTCCACGGCATCGCCGCCGCCCACGGCCTCCCAGCCCGTACCTATAGTCGAGCATCGAGGGCATAATTATACAAACTACACTTCATTCTGGTTCTAACATTTCCTGTAGAACACTAGCCTCTACCAAGCTTCACGGAGCGGCTGGAAAGAGTAGAAATTGGCCAGATAGACAGATGATATGCCAGGGGAGTTGGTCTAAGAGAACAGTTGGTCGCTTCTCGCCATTAGTGAGTTCTGTTGTTGCTAAGCGTCACTAAGCCCCATCCAATTAACTCCCGTCGTGCAAAAGCTACTGGGGAACCTAGCTGGGGTGGGCGGGGCAGAGCTTCAGTGGCCCCGAAGAAAATCCGCCCCAACCGCGATAGACTGGACGCCAGGTTGACCCTGTTACAGTCTTTACCTTCTAAGCTGCCAGCACCGATGCCTGTCCTGCGCTGAATCGCTCCCTCAGAGTCCACTGCCCACACCTGGTTACTGGATGAGCTGACACACAGAGACTTCATCGTTTTTCCTGTGATCTCCTTCCACGATGTACCCCATTGGTGGCTTCCGTCGATGCCTGATAGGGATAAGAGGAGTTGTACATTATCAAAACCCACGCTGCACTGTCGTGTATAACAGTCACAGTCTTAACCATAGGTTTTTCGACGCGAGGATACTAGCACAGCGAAACTGACGAACACTGATATTTATTAATTATCATAAGCATACACGTCAAAAATATCTATATTTTCTGCAGGTTTCACGTATTTCACATTTAATTATTCAAGCACTATTTTCCTTAACTGAAATGCTTTTTACCGATCCTTTTCTTTGAATAAGAAGAAAAATTGTCTGAACTCTGAAGCCGACAGGGCTATACATTCCTTATGCATCAACGCTCAGGTACTAGTAACCATTTGGAGATATGAAGTTTCGTGTTCAAGTTTATGTTTTGCTTAGTAAGCAATTACACGATTGTGCCCCCGCCAATTGTGATACCGTTTCCGCATTCTATCTTGTCTCTTACCCAGATAGGGACCAGCTAAGCGTAAACCTGTTTTGGGGGTCAGCAAAAAAATGACCACCCACCTGTCCGTACGTAGACCTTGTAGTCGTGGTCGATGCTCCAGACGATGCCGTTGCCGGAGAAGACCCACCCCATGTCGCCGTCCACCTTCTGCCACTCCGTGCCGGGGGAGCCCTCGTTCATGAACGTGCCGACGCGGAAGTAGATGTCGTGCTCCCCGCGGATGCCCCACACGCCGCAGCCGCCCACCGTCACCCAGTGGAGGTCTCCATCCACCATGCCCCAACCGGTCCCTGTCGTCAACATTACATACATTAGCGGCCTATAAGCCGGGCTCTATGCCATCACATACAACTCTCCAGTTCTCTCTAGCATTGCTTTCCTAAGTATTCGAGTTCTATGCCAGTGTCTCTAGTTAAGGTATCGGTAAAAGTCAGACTTCTACAGTGTACTCGACCTCTTGGCTTCCAGAGAAAGGACAGAAGAAACGATTTCCTGCTTAGCTCGATAACAATGTCCTGCAAATTTTACCTTGCGGTGGGTGAGTTTTTGAGACAGCCTCGGAGACCCGCATATATTGTTTGAATAGTAGCATCTTGTGTCCATGATATATTTTGTGCCCTTCGCAGTAACTCGTCGTCAACATTAAGCCTTGTCATTCACACATTCATACCCCCCTCGAACACCAGGCAACCTAGGTTGGCTGAAGTTCGGGACATGTCCGACCAGATTTAGGCCACGCCTACCTGGTTTTGTGTGTGACAGGGCTTAATTAATTAAGACAAATTCCATAGATGTACAACTACTAGTACTGTGTGTAGAGTATAATGCTAAAATGATATTCTAGCAATTAAGAATTTTAACATAGAAAACAAGGACCTTGCTCGTTCTTGCTGTCCTTTTGGCAATTGCAATACCCTGATGCTTAAATTGTGGCATTGACAAGTAACTAAAAGATATTCCACAAATTGACTTATTTTGAAGCATTTCACTCACCGACTTTGTCAGCTGGAATGACGACAGTTCCTCCTGCTCCTGCTCCTGCTCCACCTGCTCCTCCTGCTCCACCTGCTCCACCTGTTCCACCTGTTTCTCCTGCTCCACCTGTTCCTCCAGCTCCACCTGCTCCACCTGCTCCACCTGCTCCACCTGTTCCACCTGCTCCTCCGGCTCCACCTGCTCCTCCAGCACCTAATCAAGATGATAGATATTCAAAATGGAATTATTGCCTCAACGAATGAAAATATGCGTATGTTACGGTGCCGCCTGGTTGTTCGTGGGATTTAATTGGGGCATGTGCTACGTATACGACTCGACTTTGCCCGTACTGTTCTTGATAACCGGCTTCTTTTACGAACAGAGGTTTGACAGATCTACGTAAACGACTACCTTGCGTCAACATCCCAAGTGATGCATACAACCTGGAAGCACATTATTTTTATTCAGAAACACAGTAATAAATACAAATGAAAGGACACGGACTAAGTGGCTGCGAACTCAAGTTAGATACAATGGGAAAAAAGTATTTTACAAGACGTTTGAGGATACATTAGACCTAGCGTGAGTCAGAACCTCCCGTCCCAGAAAAAAAGAAAGCATAGCAGGACACGTACAGCTAAAAGAGTTTTGTTTCCTTCTAAACACAAAAGAGTCATGAATGGTAAGGTATATATTTAAATGCAATGTTAGTTGCCATTTTCTCATTGCCTTAAACAGACGTAACACCGCTTGCAGCAAATATTAATATGGTTCGACAACCATGTTCATGACATACTTTGTTTCTATGTTCCTTTCCTCAACTTGCAATAAATTCCAATCACACCTAACATCTTTGCGGCCGACACAAGTGCTACACGTACCCGCTGCCATCCCGAAGAAACCCACTTCCTTTAGCCAAGGTTGCCAGCCGGAGTGCGTTCTAGTGACTCAGAAGAAGAATACAATGCAGCAAAGTACAAGCCAAAAGAAAAAAGGAAAAGAATCTTACCTCCAAAGACCTGCACCTCACACAGTGTGAGGAACTCCCTGCCAGGTAGAGCTATCCCCACGTACCGGCCTGTGCGACCACCACAGTCCACGGTGAATGACCACTTGTTCCGTGTAGACTGCTCTCCCCCGCACGTTGGGTTCTCTGTCACGGTCGGGTTGTCACCGACGTACACCTTGAAGCCGCCGAGTCGCTCCGAGCAACAGTCTCGTCGGTTGGTGACGACGACTCGGTCCACACATTTAGAGGAACCCAGGTCGACTCGCCACCACGGCCTGTCCTCCGAGTTGGTGTGTGTGCAGGAGTTCCCGCTATACTGCGAGTTTGTGTTCCCGTCCACCGCCCGGTCTGGGGTGCCTCCGTAACCCGTACTCGACTGTTCCGCTTGGCGACCTTGGGCAAGGTTGGTAGTACTGCCGGCTGTGGGACAGAAAACAGCTGTTTTCTACGCCAAAAAAGTTACTCCAGCAAATGTATATGATTTTAGAAGTAGTCAGACGTTTCAGGTAGCATCTACTACACTGGGCACCGGAGAATTCTCGGAAAAGTAGGTTTATAAGCATGAACTGTTGAGCTCTTTTGTACACTCTGATATGTAACTGTATCTCAACACTTAGAGCTTGTATTGTGTGACCATTTACAATTATCAATGCCGTTATTAATACTGTGTCAATGTCTGTACGTCACATACCACACTGTTGAGTCGCTCCACCACCACCTCCTCCTCCTCCTCCTAAAGAGAAAGGAGTCAAGAATGGTAAGGTATATGTTTAAATGCAATGTCAATTTCCATTTTCTCATCACCTTAAAGAGACGTACATGTAACACTGCTTGCAGCAAATGTTAATATGGTTCTACAACCATGTCCATGACCTTGACACACTTTGTTTTTATGTTCTCGGCTCAAGGTGTCTTTCCAATAGCCAAGGCTTCTATATGGCGGGCCTTGTCCCGAGCCAGAGCCTTGAAAAACATGATTACATACAGCGGGTTAAATACCTTCTGTCAAAAGCCTACACGTTATTGCCGAGTGTCACCCCTTCCGTGCCCCTATCCAGAGCTTAAAATGAACAAGCCAATGGTGATGCCTGTATTTATAAACAGCAGCTAAGAATTAATTTTCCTGCAAAAAGGTATTTCGATGTGTGTTTATATTCTCAACATTACCTCCTGGAACTGCTCCTCCTAGTTCTCCTCCTCCTCCTACTGCTACTTGTCCTCCTCCTCCTCCACCGCCACCTAACAGAGAAGAATAAAACATGGCTGTATGCGTAGGTACATGCTGTATGCGAGAGCAGTGCATATTATTAATAAGAGATTTAGAAAAATACTAGAACAGTTTAATCATATGCATATTTAGTATTCATAACCATGCATTATTATATATTAATTTTCCAACTGTACTTGTCACAACTCACAAGCCTGGATTCTATTGTATGCAACAAATGAGGCATTCGCTGTCAGAGCCGCTCAGTAGGTTTTTAAAAGTTCTCCTCAGAGCTGAATTTGTTACGGCTCTTGGTGGCAAATGTGCAAATGTCGGCGCCTTGGCGTACCAAATCCGTATAGTGTTTTTGGCACACATTTAGACAGATTAGGGAGGGAAGTTTCCCAAGGGCACAACGTCCGGGCATGCATATGTTGAGTATCGAACCCGGGACCTATTGGTTCCGAAGCCAGCGCTATAACCGCGAGTGCTGAATAGAGAATAGAAACGCCCATGATTATAGATGCTCACCTGGCCTGCGTCTGTAGTCGATGCAGCCGTCGCAGGTGCAGTGATGTGCAGTGATGCCGCACCAGTTGTGCGGAGAGCAGCAAGGGAAGGGACCGTCAGGGTTGCACTGACCGGGATTGGAGCCAGGAGCCGGGAACGCCGATCCACAGCGAAGGTTTGAGTTCCATTTTCTAGGAACTGTGCAGGTAAAACAACGATGTTACTTCAGCGGAACAGAACTTCTGGCAATGGCAATGGGGGGGGGGCAGTTTTGACGCTGATGTTTACTATGTTTACTGTGTTAACAAGGAGTGGAGGTCCCTCGCCGTCCCACAACTTTTGACAGCAGCCCAAGATAGGAAGACCTGGCTACACCTCTGCTGCAAAGTCTGCATTGTCCCCCCGACGACCAGTGTCGGTCATGGGACTACGTAGGTAGGTGGGTTTACTATGTGGCATTGTCAACGGTGTTAACGTTACTATTGGATCCATAGAAGCTGTGTGTTACAAAGTATGCATAAATTACATACTACATATCAATCATAAACTACCAACAGTTCTAGTAAGCATACCTTCTCCAGTACCAGTTCCTCCTTCGCCTCCGCCTGTGCCGCCTAAGCCACCGCTAATATCTGTAATAGTGACGAGGTTACTATAGTAGTAAAATGTTAAACTTTATTCCAACACACTATTTGCAGGGATCAAATTTTCTAAGAGGCATTAAGGAGGCTATATATATCAGAGCACTTCAGCCTTCACTTAATAGAGATGGTGGACGATATAAACTCCCTGGCACTTTTGATCAATTGCTTACGTCACGTATCAGTAAAGTCTCGTGTGAATAAGGTCACGTGTTTGTAAACCGTAACTCTCGCGAGATCACGTTTTGAAGTGATTGGTCATTAATTATCCTGATGAAGGCGACAGTGGTCGCTGAAAATTTGATCCCTGTAAATAGTGTGTTGGAATAAAGTTTAACGTTTTACTATGATTACTACCAACACAGATGAACTTTCATGATAATCTGAGGTTACTATAGGTATGCCGTATATAGCTAGGTATGTAAAAGTGTAAAAGGTGGCTTAACACTACATTCTACACTGTAAACTTTATACCAGTCAAAGAAGTGCTCTGTTATCATCTCTTTCCAACATAGTAAAACTACAGCATCTCAATGACAGTACTTAATGTTTTACTGCTACGAGGCCTAGGGTCCACGTCACTTTCACATTCACAAAACTGTAATGTCTTCGATTCAGATGTAGATGTAATGTTGATTCTCGTAATTGATAGATCACCAAATTGCCTTGTTTACACTCATTTTTCTTTTAACCATTCCTGTAATAATGTATGTCATTGTATTTTACTCTTTTTTATGTGTTTGAGTAGGAAGCGTCATATAAGCAACTGTGCTTCTTGATTAATACTCAATAGATATATGTGATGGATCCGCTGGGGAAGACGGATGCCCAAGTGTGCGGGTCTCAGATTCGCAACCTGTTATCCACCTTAAACAAATCCACGCGAAGGCCACCGTGTCAACTGTGACCCTCACTTAGGTGTAGGGACTGACACGGTTATCCTACTCGGAAAGTCTGTATATCTGTACATGAATCTGTATCTGTGCATGACTATGTATCTGTACATGAATATGTATTGATTACAAATAATGATCACGAGTGATTGCCATAGATATGTGAAGGAATAAATAAATAAATAAAAGGAAGCTAAAACAGAGGACTTTCCGTTGGAAATTATCTATTGGGAGTCTGTGATAACTGATAACTGACGTGGGGTCGTGTGGCGCAGCGGCAGCGTTCTCGAATCGGAACCAGAGGCCCCGGGTTCGAGTCCTGACATGCCACCGATCTTGTGCCCTTGGGAAAGGCACTTAACACGACTTTCCTCACTTCGCTCAGGTGTAAATGAGTATTGTACTGTCCCTGTGTTGGTGTCGGCATTAATATAATTTGAAAAAACTTGAGTGTGTCGTCACCACGTCTTGTGATAAGATGTTTCGGAATAAAAAAAAACTGATTTTACACACCTCGTTCGCAGAGGTAGTTCTTTGTGCCGGTACACCTTGCGTCGTTCCACTGATCTCGCTGGTTGTCGCCCCTGTTGTGGCCCCAATAGTGGACACAGTCCTCGTCGCCCAGGTTGTTGGGTTCACCAGAAGCCCACGCACTGAAGCCGCTCGACACTGAGCCGTCAGACCACATCCAGACGCCTTCGCTTTCCTTCATTTATTTATTGAGTTAGTTAGTTATTACAATTTTCCACATACATGAAAGGCATGGTGGAAGAAGTGACTACATCTTTACAAAGCCACCATGCTAACAGGGTTATACTAATGCATAAAATATCATAAATTACATAACATTACATTTCAATTATATAATACATGCAAATACACTTACCGAGGCCTGTAGCAGCACGGCAGGCCGCACATCAATATGACAGTAATCACGAACAAGTATATCTACACAAAAGTGGTGGTTTTTTTCTCGTCCATCAGTTATAGAAGTTACTCCTGTTCAATAACTTTTTTTCCTGTTCAATAACCTGGCTACCATTAGCATTGTTTAATAGATAGGGGAATTCTTTTTACACAACCAAAGAGTCTCACCTCGCTGACGTTTCGGTGTCTGTCAGACACCTTCTTCAGAGCTTCTGACTGGAGTACTGCATCTCGCCGCTATATGTAGCCGATGTAGGTGGCGCTTTTGCGGCGAGAACACTATCCAAAACATCACGTACTAACTAACATCACAAACTAAGCCACGTTTGGGATAGCGTTTGTTTGGGATGAGACTCTTTGGTTGTGTAAAAAGAATTCCCCTATCTCTTAAGTTTTACCAGCCTGATGAAACTATTTTCGGAAGCATTGTTTAATGTCTGTCTTGAGGTGATGGGACTTCGGTGCACTGTTATGTCAACTCGAGCTATGTGTATTTACATGTTAATTGTATTTTGTTGTGTGGCGCTGTTAAAATACGTGAACTTGAGCGCAGCGCTACACTGTGCTTGTTACTGTTTTGTTGTGTATTAAAAAGTTAAAGATAAATAGCCTTTCCGCATAAAGTGATACATAGGGCGGCACCCACTACAGCAGGGGCTAGTCCACTGGTAGTGGCGTATGTTTAACTTCCATACTCTTTCCCAAATGCTGAGTACTACGTAGAGAAAGCAGTATGTACCATTTTTAAAGTCTTTGGTATGACTCGGCCGGGGATCGAACTCACGACCTACCGAATGTAAGGCGAGCACTCTACCCACTTGGCCATTGCATCGTTTGTTGTGTACTGATGAATGAATACAAAGTGATGGTTGAATCACCTTATCGCTCAACCCGATCCAGAAATCGCCGTTGGCGTCGATGGCGTTCTTCAGGCGGACCAGAAGGCTGTGGATGGTCCTGTGCTTCACTGTCGCCAACCTGCCTCCCGCTTCGCTGCATTTGGTAGCGGCTGTTCCCGCGTCTACTCCGTCTTTGAAGCCGCGGTAGCACTGGTAGCCTCCTGACGACCATCCACTCGGGCAGGTGCCTAGGTAAAATATATGTTTGGCAATCAAGTCAAGTAAGCAATTCAGCACTTCAACCTTTTAATTTTTTGCTATAGATATAAAGTCATTCCATCAAATTTAGTTGTAGAGGAATATCAAGCAAATTGATGATTCTATACCATCTATTTATTTATTTATTGGGATTTTCAGAAAAGAAACTGGGAGGAGTCAGCAAACAGGATATACATGTAATCCTTTGACAAGGCTGACTCCTCAAAACAAATAATAAATAAATAAATACCATCACCAGTACCATGATCACAACACCGTCGACTATAAGTCATTCTTACAAAATAATATGCTTTTTTACTGATATACTGCACGCCGTTTACGTTAAACTTTGTAATGAGTTGTGTTTTTGCACATAGAGACATAGTACAAAGGTTACGCACGACTAAATTTCTGTAAAGCGTTGAAGCTTTCAGACGGTATCCACCATCTTTCATAGGGACATGTGTCAAAAAACAAAACCGACCTGCTCGTATTCCGTTGAAGGCGACGCCGACCAGCCAGGGCGCGCTTCCCGAGTGAGTGGAGGTGATGAACAGGCGCCAGAATTGACCTGTCACCGGCGGGATGTCGAACTCCTGCGCGGCGTGGCTCCCTGCCGTCACCGAGGGGACCACCAGCGCGTCCTGCCAGTTGTACGGGCTCCCCGAGGACGAAACCTGCAGTTTGAAGGACTTGATGTCGTGAGTAGTGTCTCCGTAGTTGGTGATGCTGATCCGGGAGAGAAGGTACGATGCCCCGAGGTTCATGACGATGGACCACTGGTTGTAGTTCTGAGGCAAGCCCGTTGGTTTCCAGCAGGTTCTTGGATTGCCGTCAAAGATCTTCCCCGGTCCGTAGGTCACTCCTCCCTCGGTGGCAGGTGTCCCGGAGCCCTCGGTGGCCCAGTCGCCGGAGGTGTGGAACCACGAGAACTGCCCTGAAACAAAAATGTTATACAGCCAGTGAGCTGACGATACTCGGGTATGAGCTAATGATTGTTGAAAGGTGGCAGGTATCAATGTTGTCTGTGCAGCCCTCTCGTGTAGGTAAGGGGACGTAGATAATTTCACTTTTGCTGAGTTTAACTGTCTTTGCTTTACAATGCATTGTAGATGAAAAAGCTGACTCTGGTCAGACCACTGCACACACACACACACACACACAAACACACATACACACACGCACACGCACACGGACACACACACACTGACACACAGAGACACACACACATACACACCTACGTTGTGGACGCTTAGTGTTCCGCCAATGCTGCCAATGTAAGTTTTGTGCAGAAGACACACACACACACACACACACACACACACACACGTGTGGCCTTTTAGTGTTCAGCCAGTATACTTACTTTCAACGCAAGTTAGAACCCTTCCTTACCACTTCTGTGACCGCCGTAGCGCCAGATCCCCTGTCTGCGGAAGATGTTGTGCCCGGCGTTACATCCCCACACCTTGTTGGTCGAGGGGCTGACGTACACCATAGACAGGCGTCCCGGCACGAGAACCCAGTCTACCCCCATCGGGCGACGTGAAGTAATCCCTTGAAAAAATAAAAATGAAATTAATACCCCGCAATATTGTATACTTGTTCATTTATTGGTTTAGCTGTACACACACAGCCAGGGCATCCCAACTTGCCTGTGGCTAGGCTATTACAAAGGGCTTGCCCATCTGACAAGACATTACGATATACATGACGTTGTATTTTATTTATTATCAAGAAGTTTATAGCATTATTCTATGTAAATGAAAACATTGCGCAGAAAAAATTAATGAAAAAAATTATGGTATCTACATATGTGTGTGGAGAGGTCAGGGTCAGTGTGTACAGATGTATTAAAGGGTTGTATACTTGTCGTGACTTTTCTTGACCTATTCCATACATATACGTACATACAAGTATCACCTTGGCATTTCATAAAGGGTATATATACAGTTATTCATAAAGACGTAGATAAACGAATGGGTCAGCCTACCAACTCGAATCCAGATCTGATCCCTGTTGTTGACGCCCCAGACAACGTTGTACCCCACGGTGAGCTGTTTCAGCTTTCCCGAGACCAGCCTCCACCTGGTCCCGACCGCCCGCTCGTCCCCGTACGTTCCCTCTCGGTACCAGATGTCGTTGTTGCCGTTCACACCCCACACACCCGCCGGTCCGACCGACACGTACTTCAGCCTCCCGTCCAGTTGTCGCCAGGACGTACCTGTTATACATGTAAAAGCAGGTTTGTACATGTATAATGTGGGGTGTGTGTGTGATCAGAGAAACTGGATGGCAAAACAAAATGCCATAATAATTTAGATCGGTGTCTTTGTGCCTTGGCAAGCAAAAATATGTCTTGTTTTATTCTGAACATGACTAGTTGGTGGAAATACATGGTAAAAATCACCATTGAAAAATTCAGCAGGACTTATGGTATGATTTATTACTATATATAATAATATATAATTCCATGTGCTCTTTTCTTGTATTGGAGTGATAGTAACTGTTGTTGCACATACCCCTTTTGTTAGCGAAGGTGACGCCCACACGTCTGTAGACCTGGTGGTTGGCATTCACTCCCCACACCTGGTCGTATTTGGAGCTGACACTGACCATGATCAGCTGGCCGTCCACCTTCGTCCACGAGCTTCCTTGTGGTCTGCCACCGTTAAAACCTTAGAGTCGAAAAATAAGATTTAAAAAAAAAAGAACAAGAAAGATTCCACAAAAACAACAGAGCGAGCAAATATACCATTATTACCTTCGCCAAGAAGGTTATGTTTTCAGGGGCGTTCGTGTATGTGTGTGTGTGTGTGTCTGTAAACACGATAACTTGAGAAGGCCTTGATGGATTATTTTGATACTTGGTAGGTGGGTAGGTCTTGATGAGACCTCAAAATGATTAGATTTTGGGCCCCCTAGCGGCTTGTTATGGTACTGCAGCTGAACTTCCGGTTTTGATATCTCATGATCTAGACATGCTATGGTGATGAAATTTGGATGGTAGGTAGCTCTCGTGCTGGGAAAGAAGTGACGTGAGTTTGGGCCCCCTAGTGGCTTGCTATGGAACTGCAGGGATATATTCTTGAAATTATTCAAAAGGGGATAACTCAAGAACCGTTTGACGGATCGTCGTGATTTTTGGTATGTAGTTAGCTTACGTGATGTTTAATATAATTATGTGACAATTATGCAAATATGGATGTAATTTACATAATTTATGGGGAAATTCTATAAATCAGCTGCATTCCATGATAGGACAATTGAAGCTTGTGACATTGGTAATTGACAACGAGAGAAACACAGGAAGATATTGATTATGTTAATAATGACTTAATTTGCATAATTAATGAGAAAGTTTTATAATTATGTAATGATAACTGCCTGGAATTTCATACTTGTGGTATTTGAAAGTTTAGTTGAGGTGAACATCATTATACATAATTTATTCAAATCAGGACCTCATTTGCATAATTTATTAGGAAATGCTAGAATGCATTGTTTGTTAATATAAGACTGTCTTTTGGTTGAGCTTATGATAAAATGATATAATTCATGAAAATTAGGTTCCTATTTCTTAAATCAGGGGGGAATAATCTAATCTATAATTTGTCAGTCATAAAGATTAACATCATTTGGCGAAGGTATGAGATCGGGGAACTCTAGTTGAATGTTGCATTCAAAGTATTAGCGTTAACTTTTTTCAGCTTTGGATAAATGGCCTAAGAACATCGGCCTTGAGTTTTAGTGTCAGGTTGCTGACAAAGCCAAGATTAACATCTGATGTCCTCGCCGATGGCTTCTTGTAAAGTTCAAATGCATGAACACGTAATACATGCCAGCACAGTACATTATCACCAACAAGAAATACAAAGATGATAAACTTTGTTAAATTCATTACATCATTCACCTGTGTGTTTAGTTTAAGGTAAGCTACATAAGTCAAACCTTACAATGCGGAACTATTTATAAAGGTACAAACCTTCTCGGACGTAGACGTCGTTGTTTGAATTGACGCCCCACACGATGCCGTATCCCGAGCTGATCTGCTTCAGTCTTCCGTCGACTTTCAACCAGTCGGTCCCGGGGTGGCTCTCGCGGAGGTACGTGCCGACCCGGTAATATATGTCATCGTTCGCGTTCACTCCCCAAACACCACAGCCGCCAACGCTGACAAACTTCAGGGCACCCTCTATCGCCTGCCAGGCACGACCTGCGGACATATTCACATGGAAGAGTTTCGTCTAAGAACTAATTTAAAGTCATAGACATGAAATATGTTTTTGCCACTTCAACGTACCCTCTCGCAATACCAGGCGATAGGCCGGCAGGGCAAATGGAGGTACTTACCACATAGACCTTCTGGTGCCTGTACTGCTCCTCCTCCTCCTCCGACTCCACCTCCTCCTCCGACTCCACCTTCACCTCCTCCTCCTGTAAAACAGAAGAAGAGTCACTTCAGGGCGAATCCAGAGGTGATCAGAATAGTATCCCGTCTTGCATTGCGGGCGTGACGTACCAATATGGCCGCCCTTAGAGTCGAATGTAGGCCTGTACCTCCGGGACGAATCACTGCTCCCGTGTGAGTGTGCAAGTCACGAGCATAAAAGAGAGCGCCATATCATTCAAAGCACCCAACCTTTATCATACATTACTGTAACAGTATTGCAAGCGGCAGTCCTGGCAAAGAGGAAAGATTGGGTGGTTCAGGGTAAGATGTTCAGACCTTAGAACAAGTAGTATAAGTTGATTCATCTAATAATAAGTATATAGTCTTGTACGTGGGTTAATTCTTTTGTACCCACGTGTCTGTATGTCTAGATATACACCTTACGGAAATTCTACATTTTCAGTAGAGGTTTTCCTTACCGCCACGTGCCAGACGGTAGACAGATATGCGCCAGGCCCCTCCGCACTTCTCGTTGCTATCTCCACGACAAGGAGCGTTACATTGTCCGGTCGCCCTCACGAGTCTGGCGAAGTTGGCATCGTTCCCACAGTAACACTCATTGTGCCACTCAGTACCTGGAAACAAAAGAAGAAATTAGTAAACTATGAAGGTAACATTTGCAAACAAATGCATCATGTTTACCTTCACGTGGCCCAGCTTAACAAACTACTGCTTCGTTCAAACACACACATATATATGGTGACCATGCAGCCCCTCTTGAACTCAGTTCTGTATAGCTCTCCCCAAACACGGGACCTCCATTTTACGTCCTATCCGATTGGCGTCCCTAACCGAAGCTCATTCCCACCCGAGTGAAGTGAGGAAAGTCGTGTTAAGTGCCTTTCTCAAGGGCACAAGATCGCAGTGACATAGGATTCGAACCTGTCGGTCCTGAGTTGAATACGCCAGGTAAGAAGGATAAAGCATTCTTACCACAATACGCATATCCTCTAGATCTGCAATGCCGTGCACATGTCTGGGCTGTCAGCTGATCATCCCTCTTGAAGTCGTGTGGGAAGACGCGGAACAGACTGTCCACATAACAGCCGACGAAACTGTATCCACCGGGCCCGGTACAGCCGTTGTTATCACCGGGTCCTGCAGAATATCAGAGCAACCGTAAGAATAGATCACATCTAATTTTCACTAACCCACAGTACCCTTTCATTTTGCTAGTTATGGGTTATTCAGGCTGAACTAAGGACATTGTAATCATTAAATCATTACATTGTCTGCATTGTAATCATTAAATGATAAGTATTTATTTATTTAGGCCACACCGATTTAATTTTATGGATGACATCCGCGCGCGCATTGATTTTCGCCCGATCTCAAAAAAAGGGTAAAAAAATTCCGAGGCTCTGGCCTGGCTTTAGGCCTGGGTAGTGCATGGTGGTGATAACTCTGGTTGACGGCAGCCAGGCTACCGAAGCTCCAAGACTCAAGAACTCAGTACATACGTACAGCAGTGTCGATTCATATATTCCGCAAAAATCCAGCATGTGTCGGCCTGTCGTATACGTCGCTATGTAATGCGCCAAATTCACAATACCAGGTTTGTATTCCTGTGGTTTTGTAGCATTTTTATTTTTGGCCGGATTTTTATTTTTTTCGCCCGCGCGCACTAGTTTGGGGGTCTTCAGAGGATGTCATCCATAAAATTAAATCGGAGTGGCCTTATAAGTACTAGTCTAAAGAGGCAAACCTCAAGATACGGTTTAGCTTCACGTGAGATTAACCAGGTATGGAGTACCATATCATGATCACAGTGGCTACTATACATGCATCTATAGTATGGAAGGCACTGAGCCGATGCCTTCAAGTTCCACTCAATCATGCACAGTGATATATTGGTAAGCAGTTGGCTTATCCGAGATACTACCAAGCAGATCATACGGTGGCAAGCAATACAGTATCCTCTGGCCAATGGATACTGCCTTGCCACCGTATGATCTGCTTGGAGACAAGGGGTACATACCAATCTGGCAGACGAATTTCTTTTGATTGTTGCACATATCGTCGTCCCAGCGGTTGCCTGCTGCTGACCAGTACTGCACACAGTCCTGTCCCAGACCGAAGGCGTTGTTCGGTTCCCCGGGGGCCCATTTCTTGAAGTCACAATTCTGTAATACGAAACATAAAGTAGCTTAGACACGGTGAGAAAGAGCCATGTCAACATCATGCATGTATCCTCATAACATGCTGTGGACAGCGTCAACTGAACAAAAATTGTAATCTCCAAGCAGATCCTAGGTCTGGCAAAAGACAGTTATTAAATTGGCCAGGCAGTATCCATCGGCCATAGAGGGTATATGCCATCCAAGGATACCCAAGAAACGGAACGATTTCTTTGCTCTCGCAATTTATCAGTGATGAACTCGATGTTGTTTTTATGGATCTGTGTGTTTTATATTTCATCTCTTTGCTTCTGTTTTGTAATCTCACTGTTTTTGGAAATCTCTGTTGTACAAAAACAATGCCTATACACACAATAGCACAACTTGATAATATATATATCATAACAGTACAATGCTTTTAAGTGCATACTTTAAGTCGGTATTGGCATATATCTGCATATGTATACAGTACACTAGATCTCTCCCAGTAACCTGCATATGTGTCCCGTCGCTGTATGTCCAAGCGCCCTCCGATGCCCTGTCGTCCATTCCTATCCAGTGATCGCCTCCTCCGTTCCCACGAATCAGGCCCATTATGAAGCTATCCAGCATCTCGGTCTTTGGCGCCACCAGGCGGCCGCCATCGGCAGCACACTTGGCCTTGGCGTCGTCGTAGGACTTCCTCTCTCCGTACGCCCTGTAGCAGGTGCCTTCGTACCTTTGGTAACCGCTTGCACAGGTTCCACCGCCTCCGGATCCGGCTGATCCTGAACAGGTAAAAACAAACCGCTCAATCGACCACCTGGTTAGCCTACTTCGCAGACTTGTGGCGGCGGTGTTAATTTTTTTTCGGGCAGCGTTTCGACCTATGCCGCGGAGGGGCGGTTTTGCCGCCGAGGGACTTTGCCGGGAGAGAGTTTTCGCGCAGCACACACGAAGGCGGCCTTGGCATTCCTTCTTTGTTGTCCCAGTACCAGCATGTGATCCTTCCATGAAGATGTAGTGAGAAACTCTATCCCCGGCAAAGTCCCTCGACGGCAGAACCGTCCTTCTGCGGCATAGGTCGCAACGCTGCACGAAAAAACGTCGCCCCCCCACAAGTCTGCGAAGGAGGCTACCACCTGGTTAGAATGGTCGTCCACCAACAGCTAGTCAAAATGATTCGCATTGATCCAGCTTTGATCCGGCTCGAAGTAGTGAGAATCGGAGGCGTACATCACAAGAAGTAACGTTATAAACCAAAGACCCACAAGACGAATACAATGCAGCAAACTACAAGCCAAAAGAAAAAGGAAAAGAATCTTACCTCCAAAGACCTGCACTTCACACAGTGTAAGGAACTGCCTGCCAGGTAGAGCTATCCCCACGTACCGGCCCGTGCGACGACCACAGTCCACGGTGAATGACCACTTGTTCCGTGTAGACTGCTCTCCCCCGCAAGTTGGGTTCTCGGTCACGGACGGGTTGTCGCCGACGTACACCTTGAAGTTGCTCAGTCGCTCCGAGCAACAGTCTCGTCGGTTGGTGACGACGACTCGATCCACACATTTAGAGGAACCCAGGTCGACTCGCCACCACGGCCTGTCTTCCATGTTGGTGTGTGTGCAGGAGTGCCCGTTAAACAGCGAGTTTGTGTTCCCGTCCACCGCCCGGTCTGGGGTGCCTCCGTAACCGGTACTCGACTGTTCCGCTTGGCGACCTTGGGCAAGGTTGGTAGTACTGCCGGCTGTGGGACAGAAAACAGCTCTTTTCTACGCCAAAAAAGTTACTCCAGCAAATGTATATGAAGTAGAAGTACTTAGAAGTAGTCACACGTTTCAGGTAGCATCCACTACACTGGGCACCGGAGAATTCTCGGAAAAGTAGGTTTATAAGCATGAACTGTTGAGCTCTTTTGTACACTCTGATATGTAACTGTATCTCAACACTTAGAGCTTGTATTGTGTGACCATTTACAATTATCAATTGTGTCAATGTCTGTGTACGTCACATACCACACTGGAGAGTCGCTCCACCGCCACCACCTCCTCCTCCTACTAAAGACAAAGGAGTCAAGAATGGTAAGGTACAGTGCTCTCCATCTATTTGCATCACTGATGACATTGGCATAAATCTATGATTTGCATAACAAATATTAGTATGGTTCGACAACCATGTCCATGACACACTTTGCTTCTATGTTCCTTTCCTCAACTTGAAATAAAATTCCAACTACATATAACATATTTGTGGCCAACGCAAGTGCTACACGTACCCGCTTCCATCCCGAAGAAACCCACTTCCTTTAGCCAAGGTTGCCAGCCGGAATGCGTTCTAGTGATGTAAAGTCGCCAAAACTGAGCGGTCGCCCCAAAGCCGGAGAAATACTGGACCTCGCCTGTTCCTCTCTCAGCCCTTTCGACAGACAGGGCATCTACCCAGTTGTAAGGACTGGCGCTTTCCGACCATTGCACCTTGAATGTCTTGATGTCGTGTGTGTTGTCGCCATAGTTGGAGAGACGGAACCTCCAAATTCTGTATCTCGCCCCAAAGTTGAAAATGATGTACCACCTGTTGAAGTCTTTTGACAATCCCTGGGGGTTCCAGTACGTGCTTGGGTCCCCATCCAGGACTTTCCCGGGACTATACGTCACACCGCCTTGAACATATGGCGTGCCCGAAGCCTCAGTGGCCCAGCTGGATGAGCACTGGACCCATCCAAAGCGTGCCCCTGCTCCTGAAGTAAAAAAATAATTGTTGAAGACAAAACATCTTCTGATATTTTCTTCCATGCCAAATTCCGTAACCTTAACAAATGTGCTATTTGCTAATGCTAATCCGAGATGAGCAAGATTGAGAAGTTTACCTATGATTCGGTAGACTTGATTCGCCCATCCGCCTCCCTTGCCGTCTGTTTTACACTGCGTTGATGGCCCAAACTTGTAGTAGGTGCTTCGTGCGTTGAACGACGTCCCGCACTGCCCACCGTTCTGCACGGAAAATATGCCAAAGCCCTTAGCTTTGGCCACCTCGTAGCATTTGTTGATGGCATCTCGGCGATTGCTGTATGATCCATCCAGGCGGCCATCCGACCCCTCAACAATGGTGATGGCTCTGTCCGACGTGTCCTTCCAACATCCCAGGGTAATATACTTTCGAGTGGCATCTACAGAATAACAGAGAACATCCAAGTTCTTATTTTTTAGTACAGAACAATGCATTGACGTTTTTCATACAACTAAGGAAAGAAACGAAATGACTACCTTTGGTCCTAACGCCTGTTATAAATGGCCAGCTCTGAATTGATGAAAGACATCTTTCCTAGTTCGCACAGGTCTTAAGACACAGCTGTCAATAATGCACTTGAAGAACCCACCTGTGATCATGTAGACATTATTCGCCCACCCGCCTCCTTTCCCCTCCCCTCTACAACCCGTCGATGTGCCGTATTTCCTGTAGGTTCCCCCGGCGATGGGTGACGAGGCGCACTGCCCACCGTTCTGCACCCCGAAGACCGAGAAGCCGCGATCTTTGGCCACTTGGTAGCACTTCTTCAGTGCGTCCTGTCGGGAGCTGTAACTGCCGTCCAGACGGGAGTCGGTCCCCTCGATGATCGGGATCGCTCGGCTTGAGGTGTCTTTCCAACAGCCAAGGCTTCTATATGGCGGGCCTTGTCCTGAGCCAGAACCGGAGCCTGAACCTTGAAAAACATGATTATATACAGTGGGTTAAATACCTTCTGTCAAAATCCTACGGATTATTGCGGAGTGTCACCACTCCGGTGTCCCTATCCAGAGCTTGAAATTAAATTCCAACCAAATGTATCATCTTTATGGCCAACACAAGTGCTACACGTACCCGCTTCCATTCCGTAGAAACCCACTTCCTTTAGATAAGGTTGCCAGCCGGAGTGCGTTCTAGTGACTCAGAAGAAGAATACAATGCAGAAAAGTACAAGCCAAAAGAAAAAGGAAAAGAATCTTACCTCCAAAGACCTGCACTTCACACAGTGTGAGGAACTCCCTGCCTGGTAGAGCTATCCCCACGTACCGGCCTGTGCGACCACCACAGTCCACGGTGAATGACCACTTGTTCCGCGTAGACTGCTCTCCCCCGCACGTTGGGTTCTCTGTCACGGTCGGGTTGTCGCCGACGTACACCTTGAAGCCGCCGAGTCGCTCCGAGCAACAGTCTCGTCGGTTGGTGACGACGACTCGGTCCACACATTTAGAGGAACCCAGGTCGACTCGCCACCACGGCCTGTCCTCCGAGTTGGTGTGTGTGCAGGAGTTCCCGCTATACTGCGAGTTTGTGTTCCCGTCCACCGCCCGGTCTGGGGTGCCTCCGTAACCCGTACTCGACTGTGCCGCTTGGCGACCTTGGGCAAGGTTGGTAGTACTGCCGGCTGTGGGACAGAAAACATCTCTTTTCTACGCCAAAAAAGTTATTCCAGCAAATGTATATGATTTTAGAAGTAGTCAGACGTTTCAGGTAGCATCTACTAGACTGGGCACCGGAGAATTCTCGGAAAAGTAGGTTTATAAGCATGAACTGTTGAGCTCTTTTGTACACTCTGATATGTAACTGTATCTCAACACTTAGAGTTTGTATTGCGTAACCATTTACAATTATCAATGCCGTTATTAATTCTGTGTCAATGTCTGTGTACGTCACATACCACACTGTTGAGTCGCTCCACCACCACCACCTCCTCCTCCTCCTACTACTAAAGACAAAGGAGTCAAGAATGGTAAGGTATATATTTAAATGCAATGTAAATTTCCATTTTCTCATCACCTTAAAGAGACGTACATGTAACACTGCTTGCAGCAAATATTAATATGGTTCTACAACCATGTCCAAGACCTTGACACACTTTGTTTCTATGTTCCTTTCCTCAAATTTAAATAACATTCCAACCACACCTAACATCTTTAACCATGATTACATGCTGTGGGTTAAATACCTTCTGTCAAAATCAGACGTACTGTCACCCCTCCCGTGTCCCTATGCAGAGCTTGAAATGAAATTCCAACCAAATCTATCATCTTTATGGCCAACACAAGTGCTAAACTTACCCGCTTCCATCCCGAAGAAACCCACTTCCTTTAGCCAAGGTTGCCAGCCGGAGTGCGTTCTAGTGATGTAAAGTCGCCAAAACTGAGCGGTCGCCCCAAAGCCGGAGAAATACTGGACCTCGCCTGTTCCTCCCTCAGCCCTTTCGACAGACAGGGCGTCTACCCAGTTGTAAGGACTGGCGCTTTCCGACCATTGCACCTTGAATGTCTTGATGTCGTGTGTGTTGTCGCCAAAGTTGGAGAGACGGAACCTCCAAATTCTGTATCTCGCCCCAAAGTTGAAAATGATGTACCACCTGTTGAAGTCTTTTGACAATCCCTGGGGGTTCCAGTACGTGCTTGAGTCCCCATCCAGGACTTTCCCGGGACCATACGTCACACCGCCTTGAACATATGGCGTGCCCGAAGCCTCAATGGCCCAGCTGGATGAGCACTGGACCCATCCAAAGCGTGCCCCTGCTCCTGAAGTAAAATACAATAACTGAATATAAAACGTCTTCTGGTATTATCTTCCATGCCAAAATTTGTACCCTTAACAAATGTGCTATTTGCTAATGCTAATCAGAGAGGTGCACTAAGAAGTTACCTATGATTCGGTAGACTTGATTCGCCCATCCGCCTCCCTTGCCGTCTGTTTTACAATTCGTTGATGGCCCAAACTTGTAGTAGGTGCTTCGTGCGTTGGCCGACGTCCCGCACTGCCCACCGTTCTGCACGGAGAATATGCCATGGTTCCTAGCTTTGGCCACCTCGTAGCATTTGTTGATGGCATCTCGGCGATTGCTGTATGATCCATCCAGGCGGCCATCCGACCCCTCAACAATGGTGATGGCTCTGTCCGATGTGTCCTTCCAACATCCCAGGGTGATATACTTTCGAGTGGCATCTACAGACCAACCGACAACACCCAATTTGCATTGTACAGACTAATGCCTTAACGATATTTATGCAACAAAAAAGACAACATGACTTCTCTTGTTCCGAATGCCTGTTATCAATGGTCAATCCTGAAGTGAATCAACTACCCCAGGTAGTGAAAGACGCCCGTAGCCTCGTCGCTTTCAAGAGAGCGAGCAAAAGGCATTTCTTGAACACAAAGCACCATCAAACGCACAAGGCCGAAAAACATACCGAAATACGCAGGGACTGGCTGGTGGATAGTAAATATACAGTATATAGTACGCTGTATACGCTGTATGACTGACATAACATGGGACTGTGCATGTGGAGCTTATTCGAATTTTCAAACTTTTAAGCTCACTTTTTTTTCTTAATTATACAGCTAATTTTGCTTGTATTCTAACTGTTGTGTATCATGTTTTGTAAAGTGTCGAACACAGCATCGATCAGCTGAATTTGCTGTGCTCTACGTGTATTGCCGTTGCAATTTAGATAAAGAAAGAAAGAACCCTGAAGTTCTCACACCCACCAGTAACGCAGTTAAAGAACCCACCTGTGATCATGTAGACATTATTCGCCCACCCGCCTCCTTCCCCGTCCCCTTTGCAACCCGTCGATGTTCCAAATTTCCTGTAGGTTCCCCCGGCGATGGGTGACGAGGCGCACTGCCCACCGTTCTGCACCGCGAAGACCGAGAAGCCGCGATCTTTGGCCACTTGGTAGCACTTCTTCAGCGCGTCCTGCCGGGAGCTGTAACTGCCGTCCAGACGGGAGTCGGTCCCCTCGATGATCGGGATCGCTCGGCTTGAGGTGTCTTTCCAGCAGCCGAGGCTGACATATTCTTGTCCTGAGCCAGAACCGGAGCCTGAACCTTAAAAACAAGGGGTCAAATCCAATTAAAACTAGAAAGGCCTGCATTTGCTCTGAACTAAATGCAGCAAATGGCTCCAGCACATTCCCCGTACCAAAATTTAAACATGGACCTGTCCTCTTCCCATGCCTCCCTCACAAATGGATTATTCCTAAATCACCCCTGTCCAAATTGTGAGGTGTTCCAAAGTGTTAAAAAATGAAGAAATTGAAGCCATTTAAAGAAATGGCAGGAGGACAGGGAGAATGAGAAGAAACATTAGGAAAAACAATATGTCTTCACCACACCACATCGTCTACGTAATTAAAAATATACCGGACACATCCAGCGATCACTCGTATGCAGCGATCGAAACTAAACAGAACTCCCGCCCTCCCCTCTCGCCACAAGTACGACATATATTAAACATATCACAGCCAAACGTAAAACTTCGGAGACATGACTAGAAAAAATCTCTACAGTGTCAAAGAAATTTAAAAAAAAATGTCCAGGGTAATATCTCAAGGTGTTTGCAATCACATCCAACAGAAAACTGATTTCATGGAGATTTTAAAATGGAACTGATACCACAACAACACAAGACTCTGGCATTATTATTAGCGCTTGCCTGTGGTGTCCACTAGTTGCTTCACACAGGTAACATTTTTACATACTCTGATTATGAGGAACAAAATCTCTCTTCCTACACAAACTATGGGGCCAGTGGGGGAACTCAGGCCATCCAACTCTTACCTGATAGTATTCCCTGCTATTTCACAGACCAATGTGACATAAATTCTGTCTAAATGCTGTCTAAAGAGCCGTTGTGATGAGAGAAACTGCAGCGCACGGTGTCACCCAGTCGTACTGAACAACGAGGCAACATGCTAAAGGAATGTGCCGCATTCCGCATTGCACCAAATTCTCAACCAATCAGCTTTCGTTTTTGAAATTCGCGGGTGATTTGAATCGCGTCCTGTCATTGGTCGACAAAGAAGACCTATTCTACCTACACCTGTCCTTGCTCAAAATGAGTACAGTCTACATGTACAGGAATAGCGGAGTTGACTGAAATGCATGTTTTCCACATGGACATAGTTATACAAAGACATAGACATTGAGTGATAGACTACATATTAGAAAGATGCGCAGGGATTTATTATATTTATTCTAATATAGAAACAAGTCAAGTCTTCGAGAGTCAATAATGTGGGGACGCTAAATATGACTGTATAAGACTGTTATCATCAAATTAAGATAAAATAGCATACGTTCAATAACAGCCACATTGCTACAACTATATCATGCAAACGTTGGTGCTAACTATTTCATCAACAACCCAAGGCATAGATCTGGCAAAATTAGAGATAGAAGAATTAAAACCTTTCCTTTTTCATATTAGACTCCCAAAAATAGCCAATATTTTGCATTAGTGGACAAGTGAAGAATATGGCCTACTTTCAGGGACAGGTACAGCCACTAGAACACAGGAATCTGACCTATGCAAACATGCATTTCATAGACAATATATAGGTTTACATTCAGTGTAAATTTAAATAGTAAAACAGTTTACTGTTGAGACTTATGAGAGTCAAAAGATAGGACAATATGACATGAAAATATGCAAATTGCCCCTTTTTCAGGGACAAGTGCGTAGCAGCAAAACAAGAACCCAGACTTTGCAAGTACGCATTCCACAGAGTACATATTGTTTTATGTTGTAAATAAATTTCAAGTACAGAACTAGTTTGGTTTGGAACTTATGTCAGTTCAAAAATAGCACAAAATGACATATTATCAAAATAATGAAAACTGACCCACTTTAAAGGACAAGTGCGTAGCAACGAAACAAGAACCTAAACTTTGCAAGCATGCATTTCATAGACAATTTGTTGTTTTATATTTTATGTAACTTTCAGGTACAGAACTAGTTTGGTTTGGAACTTATGCTAGGTCAAAGATAGCACAAAATGACATATTATCAAAATAATGAAAACTGACCCACTTTAAAGGACAAGTGCGTAGCAACAAAACAAGAACCCAAACTTTGCAAGAATGCATTTCATAGACAATTTGTTGTTTTATATTCTGCGTAACGTTCAAGTAAAGAACTAGTTTGGTTTGGAACTTATGCTAGGTCAAAGATAGCACAAAATGGCATATTATCAAAATAATGAAAACTGACCCACTTTAAAGGACAAGTGCGTAGCAACGAAACAAGAACCCAAACTTTGCAAGCATGCATCTGATACCTCTGGAGTGGTTTATTATGCAGTGTAAATTTCAAGCAAAACATCTTCCCCTTTTGGGACTTACAGTGCTTCAAAGTTGGGCAAAATGTCAGTTTGTTTACACCCTTAAAACAGTGCATTGTATTCAGAGTGCCCAAGACCTCAGATTTTACTGAACATTGGCTTTACTGCTATTTTATACAAGTTTAGGCATTGCTCTGATCAGCACATCTTGCTCTTGTCGTTACGCTAAAGCACTGATCAGTTATAGGGCCCTAAAGTTAGCCAATTTCTATGTTTTGTACATGCCAAAATCTGGACAAATGCCCTGAAAACTTCTTTGGCCCGTTGCCATGGCAACAAGGGGTTCTGAGCAAAAAGAAAGCTATTCTGAGCGGTTATGTACCAAATACTATCACTGTGCAAAAAATGAGCCAAATCGATTTTTTGACCGGTGCCACCATTGTTTGATCCTTACAGACATTCGCTCTTAAGATCAGAGGAATAACAATCAGAACAATTTTGGTTTTAATAACAATCAGAACAATTTTGATTTTAAGATCAGAGGAAGCACATGGGACGATACTGCGAAAATGATGTAATAAACAATACTCACCGCATTGGTATGTGACCTCCAAATACTTGACCGTTCCTCCACAGGGGTCTCCAAACACGCTGTTTGAGGCCTGGACAGAACAGGAGCTTTTTCCATCGCATTTGTCCCTCATTTTCGACAGGCTTCTGGAGCTTTCACAGTTCGTGGTGTGCACAGCTCCCGAGCAGATCCCTCGCTCTTTCCGACCGTACAGTGCGGCCGTGACGTGGATCGTACCCGAGGAGCAAGACAGGGACAGCGTCTTGTGTTCACAAGCTCGAACTGTCCCCCCTCCACCTGTGAAAATACAAGAAAAATTGCAGTATAAATCGCGCGAATGCTCACAAATAGAATATGCCGCGACAGTATGGGATCCGTATACAAAGAAAGACAAAGACTGGAAAGGGTACAGAATCAAGCTGCAAGATTCTGTATGAACAACTATAAAAAAAGAGGTGCTAGTGTAATGAGAGTAATGAAAAGAAACCTACAGTGGGTGTCACTGGAAGACAGAAAAAAAAATGTCCAGACTATGCATGATGTACAAAATGACTAATAAACTGGTGAACGTCCCAATTACGAAGTGCCTCATACCAGCCCAGAAGAGAACAATAATAGCCATGCCTTCTAGTAAGGGTTATCAACCAAGGATTGAGATGTTCAAGAAATTCATTTTTTTCCTAGAACTGTCGCAGAGTGGAACTCACTGTCACCAACTACAGAAGGATCATTGTCATTTCGGATAGCTTTAAACAATGTCTAGAGCGTGCCCGTGGCGAGGATTTTGAATGGGGGGTTTCTTCCTGCTGCTTGAGGAACCAGCGAGGGCGCGAGCTTCCAGGGGGGTCCGGGGGCATGCTCCCCCGGGAAATTTTGAAATTGAACCTTCTGAAATGGCATTTCCTGCGTTTTTTAGATGATTTCAAAGAAAAAAATCAGAGATAACTTTTTATTCAATGACAAAGTAGGCAGTTTTCATACAATTCCAGCCCGGCTGGTGACACGAACCAGTCCATCTTTTAAAGAAAAATCTTGGACCTTTAGATAAAAAGTGGACCTTGAGCCTTGTGGGGGGGGGGGGACATGTAGAGATAATTTACCCACTAATGCATTTGGGGGGGGGGTAAGGGGTTAGCATGATAACGAACCATGATCCTCTCCGGATCCATGTTCGTGTTCCTCTGAGGATCCATGTCCGTGTCCATGTCCATGTCCAAGTCCGTGCCATTTTCCAATTTTCCATTTTCCAAAGAGACCCTGTAGACAATACATGTGAAAAAGTCATAGGTAAATAGGCAAACGACATCATGTTCAAGGTTTTGTTACCTTGTCACGTACGTATACATCTAGTGTTCTTCTTACATTCACTAATTTGTCTATCATGATGGTTCATTACTACATAGTAACAATTACCTCTGAAATATACATTGATATTTACGGTCTTCACTACCTTATACCGGACATGGTGTTACATATATAGTAGAGGGGATTCATTCCTCAAGCTAACGACATCTCACACACACAGTCCTCCCCCAGTAAGACATCTGGAGCTGCATAGTTCCCGTTTAGAACTTTAATTCAGCCTGTCACAATACCAGACATATGTTCAGTCTCTTATTTTATTCTATAAAATCATCTACGGTCATACTCGACAATACTTAAGAGATTTAATACCGCCCCTAGTATCAGACGCCTCTACTTACGACCTTCGTAATAAACTAAATCTTCAGTTGCCAAAATATACCACAACCCGCTTTAAAAAAACATTCATTCCCTATGCAACGTATCACTGGAATAACCTTACCTTAGCAGACCGCTCACTGAGTTTCCCACGCTTCAAGAAAAAAATGATCAAATCTGTGCGCCCTGTCCCTGTTTCATACTTCAGTATAGGTCCCCGGTACACCTGCGCTCTTCTCACTCGTTTTCGACTTGGTACTCATAGTCTAAACTCTAATCTGTACTCTCGAAACCTGGTATCTAGTCCTGCTTGTACTTGTGGCCACCCCTGTGAAAGTATTCATCATTATCTTCTGCACTGCCCAAAGTTTACTCAATATCGTGTCTCCCTCTTCAGCAATTTAAACAAACTTGTAGGATTTGCCATCAACATCCAAAACCTTCCCGATAATCTCCTAGTACAATTACTGCTTAGAGGTTCCTCTTCTCTGTCGGCTTCTAACAACGCTAAACTCTTACAAAGTGTTCAATTGTTTATAAAAGAAACGGAAAGATTTGAGTAACCATCAATTCCTTATCCTACCAGTTTGTTGTTTGACTTGGAATGCCTACTTATTCACTTATCACTTACCTGCATATACTGTTATATATTTGTTACATATTTTATGATTTAGTTATAATGCGGCTTACTTTAGTTTACCTTATTACTCTTATGCTTTGCATGTCTGTACTTGTGACTACATGTATATATCTTTGTAACGATGACGACACAAACATAAGCATTGTAGCTTGAGTATGTCGTCATCCTGTTTTGTTACTAAATGTTATAATAAATA